CCAGGGGGTGTGACCTTTGATGTTTCCATGGCTTTGGTTGGAATGATTGAGCTGGTATAAAAGTGTTATTTTGAGTTGCTCTTTCTTCCATTTCTTCATGGTGTTCTGCTTCTGCATTTGCTTCGCCTTCTGTGTTTTATGTTTCTTCTGTATTTTGAACAGAGGCTTCAGTATTATTTGGAACTTCAGTAGGTTCCTTATCAGTATTTCCAGTAATTCGAACAGGCTGCTTTCTGGAAATTAATTCTTCATCTTGGTATGTTGAACGAGTGAGACCAATTTCAAAAATCTCCATCTTCATATTCCTGTATACATTCATAATTATTAGTTTCATCAAAAAATCACATGTATACTTTCTTCTACACACATAGTCCCTCTTATTGTAAACTCTATAAGCTTTACTATTAGATGCATATCCTAAGAAGACTGCTTCATCACTCCTTTCATCAAAATTTTCCAAAGATTTCTTTTATCATTATTGTGAACAAAGCATTTGCATCCAAAGGCTCTTAAATGAGCAATATTAGGTTTTCTCTCCTTTTAATAGTTCATAAGGTGTCTTGTCCAACATTGGTCTGAGCATGGCTCGGTTGATGATATAAGCATGCTGTGTTGACGGCTTCTGCCCAAAAATTCCTTGGAATCCCACTTGCTATTAGCATTGTTATAAGCCATGTCTTCCAATGTTTCTGTTCTTCCTTTCAACCACACCATTTTGTTGTGGTGTTCTTGGCGCAGAGAAATTGTGACTTATTCCCTGTTCCCTGCAAAATTCATCAAACTTGGAATTTTCGAATTCCGTACCATGGTCAGTTCTCATATGAATAAGTTGATTACCTATTGATTTTTGTGTCTTTTTTCAAGAAAGTCATAAACATATCAAAAGTTTCATCTTTACTATGTAAGAATATGACCCATGTAAATCTAGAATAATCATCCACAAGAACTAAGACATATCTTTTTTCCACTTCTACTTTGAATTCTAACGGGGCCACACAAATCCATATGAATGAGTTCCAATGGTTTTGTGGTGCTTACCATTTTCTTTGATTTAAACGATGATCGAACATGCTTTCCTTTGATGCAGGCTTCACAAATTTTGTCATTTAGGAACTTGATAGAAGGTAGACCGATTACCAAGTCCTTTGACCTTAATTTGTCAAGAAATGAAAGACTAGCATGTCCAAAACGTTTATGCCATAGAAGTGGATCATCCTCAATAACACTTAAACAGGATAGATTGTATTTTGGAACTTTGTTAAGGTCCACGGTATACGTGTTCCCTTTACGAGTTCCTTCCAAAACGATTTTTCCAGTGTTATTGTTGATGATTTTGCATTTTTCAGAAGAAAAGCTTACAGAGTTTCCTTTATCACAAAACAGAGAAATACTGAGTAGATTATGCTTCAAACCCTCGACTAAAAATACATTGTCAATTGCATGGGAACTTGACCTTCCTACTTTGCCAACAGCAACAATGTTGCCCTTCTTATTGTCTCCAAAGGTCACTGTTCCCCTGTATAGGCCGTCAGTGAGAGAAATCTGGATTCATCTCCTGTCACGTGCTTAGAATAACCGCTATCGAGGTACCACTGGTTGTTCCCCCTCACTGCGACCTGCAAAAGAAATTAAGGGTTAGTAGCAGGAACCCTTTCATTCATGGGTTCCTGTGTTGACACATTTAAATCAGTTTTCTTCTGCCAAACATAGTTCACATTCTTAATGTACTGATTTGCTTTCTTAGTACATTCTTCACTGCGATGTTCCTTTTTACCACAAAAAGAACAAACGGTCTCACTAGGTAAATTCACATATTTCTTTTTCTTTCCAGTGGACTTCTTCTTATGCACATAGCCTAGACCTTCTGTTCTTTTTGTCAGAGCTTCCTGTACCCACTTAGGAACACCCGTGCTTGTTGTACTTCTTACTTTTTCTTGCTATTTCTAGGTCCTTTTCTAGTTTCTCATTTTTATCATTAGTTTCCTTTATCTCTTTCTTAACATGCTCTAGTTCATTATTAAAGATGATTAAAGGAACTTCAGTAGACCTGCAAGAATCAATGTTAGTACACAGCATTTTATATTGAGTCAATTTAATATTCAGAATGATATTCTCACTCTTGACTCTTTCAAGGGATTCTTTTAGCATAATATTTTTATCTAACAATTCAAAGAATCTGCCTTGAACATCATTTCTTAAGCTATTCAGATACTTTACATGATCTCTACAAATTCCAGTTGCCTTTTCGGCTTGCCTTAGTTTTGCACATAATTCTTTATATTCATTTAAGGTTTCTAACAATAAAGAGATTAATTTATCCTTTGAGAGAGATTTGAAATAACTAGGTTGAATGACTACCTCATCATCATGCTTTGCCATTAGACAGAGGTTGGCTACTTCATCGTTTGTGTGTTCCTGTTCCTCTTCTTCGGAACTTGATTCTCCCCACGTGGAAATCATTGCTTTCCTGAAATTTGTTTTAGAAGAGTTAGGCTTAGAGTTTCTGTTTTGATCAGCTTTTTTCCCTTGCCTTTCTCAGATTCCCATAATGGACACTCTTTGATGAAGTGGTTGGTGCTTCCACATTTGTGACAAGAAGACTTGGCTTTGGATTCCTGATTTCTTTTACTGTATCCTTTCTTCTTGTCTAAAAACTTGTTGTTACGGTAGAATTTTTTCAGCCTTCTCACCAACATTGCAGCTTCTTCTTCATCAATGTCAGACTTCTCTTCGGATTCTTCATTAGCTCTTAGTGCTAGCCCTTGACTTTTGACAGTCTCCTGAGTCCGATTGTTCGACTGGATTTCGTGGGTAATGAGGGAACCCGCAAGCTGTTCCAGATTGAACTTGGTGAAGTCTTTTGATTCATGCACAGCTGCAACCTTTGCTCTCCATCTGTCATTGTCTGGAAGACTTCTTAAGACCTTTCTGACCTGCTCATCTATAGGAATTATCTTACCAAGACACGTTAGTTCTTTAATGATACTTTTAAATCGAGTAAACATGTCTTTAATGGATTCTTTGTTTCCCATTTCAAAGCGCTCATACTGAGACAAAAGAATGTCTATTTTGAAACGTTTAACATCTGACGTTCCTTCATGTGTAACTTCCAGAAGATCCCAAATTTCCTTTGCGGACTTGCACCCTTTGACACGAGTATGTTCATCAAGTCCAAGTCCCCAAATTAAAAACTTTTTGGCAGTAGCATTCATTTCTAGTTTTTCATAATCAGTTTTTTTCATATTCATCCATAGGTTTAGGGATTACCTCATTGTTAGCATTCGTTTTCCGTAATTTCGTAATCTCCTACTTGTATAATCCGCCATACCTGATAATTCTCTGCTTGGATAAAGATTTCCATCTTATCCTTCCAATAAGGATAATATTTGTCGTTGAAGTATGGAGGTCTTTGAATGGATGTACTCCCGAATTCCTTTTCCTCTGTGTAAGCCATTTTCCCAGGAACTTACTCAACAGGGTTGCCTGCGTGCTCTGAGTTCCCGCTCTGATACCAACTGAAAGTCTAACTGGCTAATACAAGAGGGGGTGAATTGTATTTGAGATGAAATCTAAAAACTTTTGCGGAATTTAACTAAATGAAATAATGACGAGAGAAGATATAGGCTTTTCTAAATTTCCACTATGTAATCAAACTCTTTACAAGTGAAGATTCAAACCCGTTAACAAGTTCCACAAATTAGGAACTTGTTCCCAACTCTCACAGAAGCCTTCAGCAACGAAGCTTCCTTGACCTCACTTTATAAACTCACAATCCCAACCCCAAAGTACTTGAATACAATATGTGATTACAAATACCTATTGCACTCAAGAATATAAGAAGGATAATAACTCTCTTTATGTTATTAGATGGCTACTGGAATTTTTATGCTCAAGAGTTGTGTTTTTCTGAGATAGTTTGCATGAGTATTTATAGAGAAGGCTTAGTCATTAACCTCCACTATAATCACGTCCACATGCCAACACCCCACTAACAACTTGTGGAGTTATCTTGACAGATGGTGATCATGAAGGAGGTTTCCTAGCCTTATCTCACTAATCCACTATCTCAACAACTTGATAAACATTAGCTATGATAAAACCGTATAATCATAGATTCTCAAAGAAAACTGTTTGCTAACTTTATCAAAAGTTTGTTTAAAAAGATTTTATTTTAAAAAGGATTTTATTTGAAAAGATAAATTAATTATTTATATTAAAACAACTAGATAATTATCTTTGATAATTATCTTTATTCGAAATTAGATGACTAGATAAAATTTTTATAAATTATCTTTTTCCTTAAGAAATTATCTTTTAAAACTAACTTTTATTCCAGTAGTCTTTTTAATAACATAAGTCATTGAGTTCCTTTCCGACTTTATATTATTGAGTGCTCACAATTAAAACTAGAACGTGAGATTTGCATGAGGCTTATTAGAGAATGCTACTCCGCATCCAAGTTCCTACTCCGGAACGAACTTTGCTTGAACCCTTTATTCACCAAAGACTCAAAACATTCATTAGTCGAGTTTGTCAATTTGTCCATCAAAACCAAAAGGCTCAACAAATTGTGATTTATAAATGAAAAAAAAATCTATCATGTTTTGATCCAGGGGACCTTAAAAAATGGACAAGAAATAGCTGTGAAAGAAGCTGTCTAGTGGATCTAGACAAGGTTTTCATGAATTCAAGAATGAGGTTTTGTTGCTATCCAAACTTCAACATAGAAATTTGGTGAGGCTATTGGGACTTTTGTTTAGATGGGAAGGAAAAGCTGCTAGTATATGAATATGTGCCTAACAAAAGCTTAGACTATTTTCTATTTGTATGGTATGTTGACTTTCATCAAGGACATATTACTTTTTTTTTTTGTCAAACAAATTAATTTACTTGATTTTTACGTTTACCAATGTAAAACTTTGATAATTAATATCCTAATATAAATGCAAATGTGTATATGATAATTAATGCGCAGATCCCCAAAGGCATGAAAAATTAGGATGGAGAATACGTTACAAAATCGTGGTAGGAGTTGCTCGAGGGATGCTTTACCTGCATTCTCCAGAGTCATACACCGTGATCTGAAAGCCTCTAACATCTTATTGGACATGGATATGAATCCAAAAATTGCTGACCTTGGCATGGCTAGGATTTTTGGAGCAGATCAAATTCAGAGAACTACAAAGTTAAAATGTTAGAGGCTTAGTTCAGTGGTTACATGGCTCCAGAATGCTAAGCAATTTAGGTTAAAAAAATTCAGCACTTTGAAGTAGCACAAACATATCTGAAAGCCTCTAGCATCAATGTTGGTACTTAGTAAGTTAAAAAATAATAATAAAAAAAAAATAAAAAATAAAAAATTATTTTGATTACATTCTTTTACAACATTAACAAGAGAAGGGAGAAATTTTTTTCAAGTTTTCTAGCTACTTCAAAGTTCTAAGAGGTATATATATGTTTGTGCTCTTAACCTAAATGCTATCTTTTATAGTGGTTACATGGCTCCAGAATACGCATTGAAGGGACAATATTCAATCAAATCAGATGTTTATAGTTTTGAAGTACTAGCTTTAAAAATTATGTGCGGAAAGAGGAATACTACTTTCCAACAACTAAGCTACGAGGATGATCTTCTAAGTTATGTAAGAAACTTGATTACTGATTTGTTGATGGATATAGATATAAATTTTTTAAAAAAAAATTATAATTGTTCCTAACAAATTAGAGTATCTAGGTTTGGAAGAAATGGAAAGATGGCGTGCTCATGGAATTAGTGATGCAAGAATAAGAGATTTAGATCTAGCAACTGAATTCATAAAATGGATTCAACTAGGTTTGTTATGTGTTCAAAAAATCTGCATACAAAAGGCCTACTATGGCATTTGTAGTTCGTAAGTTGGATAGTCACTCGACAACTCTTCCGGAGCCTGAACAACCCGGTTTTTTCATCAGAGATGGACTAGACATCGGATTAAGTCACCTAACAAGCAACTCGAATACAAGATCTGTTATTGATGTATCACTGACAGAAGTTGAACGGAGATAGTTCAAGCCATTAATGTATAATCGTGCTTTATTAATGTTGGGCATATTGATGTATCACATAGCTTCATTGCTCAAATGACTCCTATTGGACATATCTTGGGCTATTTAGGCCTTGATCCCTTTTGTCCTCGGTTTGTGGTTGTTGGGCGTAGCTCATCTTGTGAATGAAAGCTAGGTGGCTAGAAATTTGGAGACTTAGTGTTTTGCTACTTGATCTAAAACTCGCTCCATTTGACTCTTGAGACCGCGACCGAATCGACTCATAGGATGATAAAGGCATTCATTTCGGGATAAGGGCATAATTTTTTCGTTCTTTTTAGATCCTTTTTTTTATTTCCTAGGACACCTTTACTTTCAAATTTCAGGTTTTTGGGTTTACATTCACCTTTTGCGTACCCCCTTGAGCCTTCCACTTTTTGTCTACCCGCATTACAAGCCTTATGAACCTAATTTTATTTTCACCTTTATAGAAATGAGTGAAACTCGAGCTTGGCTTTGTATCTAAGTTAAAAGTTTGGCATAGTGGATGTCTATAATGTAAATTGCAAGGGACGTGTTTGTTTCCCCAATTAAATCTTTTGGTAAAAAAAAAAAAAAAAAAAAAAAAAAAAAAAAAAGTTGGAATAAGAATGCACAAGTAAGGCATCGATCTTGTATATAGTTTAGAGTTAGTTGGGGGGTATAATACCCACCAACTAAGGTTAGTTGGCCTTGGTTTTGCTCGATTCATTAATGTTTCACTCTTAGGAGCTTACACCACCAGCCAGAATTTTTTTTTTTTTTTTTTTTTTTTTTTTTTTAACCCTTACCCAAGCCATTTCATTGCACCTTAAAAGCCCTTTGGACCTTGAGTGATTGAGTCAATGTCGGTGGAGAGAGTCATGGGTCGAGCTTTTAGATTGGATTTGCATTTACTAAGTTAGGGCAATCCTACCTTGCCCACCTCCTTGTTGTTCTCCTAATTCTCTTGTGGAATTCGAGACGACTAGCCGCCTAGTGTACATGATCGAGATGAGGAAGGTTGCCTTGGTGAGGGACAATTGGAGGATAGGATCTTTATAGTCCAAGCTTTGAGCATGAGCTATGTGGCCTTCAACCAGGAGCATTAGCTAGCTTGTCCACCTATCTTGTCAAGAAGCTTGCGCATCCTTGTGATTGCATTGTAGTGAAAGTTCAACCATTCATGTTTGTGTTTCTTTCCCTTTTTATTTTTCTATTTTTCTATTTTTCTATTTGTCTCTAAAAACCTTGCCTTGATTTAGTGCGAAGTTGTGGGTTAATCTCTCTCGAAAACCCTCACGAGAGCATACTCGTCCTCCTAAGTGACTTGGGGGTTTAAATGGCTTGTCGTTTACGCTAAAAACGACCGTGATTCCTACGAAAGTGAGTTAGTGTATAGACTTATGCTTTTGGTTATTTTTGTTTGCTTATTTTACTTCGCTCGAGGACGAGCAAAGGACTTAGTTGGGGGGAATTTGATCAGTGGCCATTTGGCCCACTTTTCTACTTCGTTTCTTCCCCGATTGAGCCCTTTGTTTGCCCTTTTTCCTCTATTTTAGCTTAGTTTTGTTATTATTGAGCATATTTGTTACTTGGAGTGGTTTTGAGTCATTTTTGGCTCATTTCCTAAGGTTTTATTCCCTCTCCTTTAACCCATTTCAATTTGCTCCTATTAGAACCTTTCCTATGATTTGTGTTTTCCATCTTACAGGTCCTCCCGTGGCTAAGAAAGCAAGGATTGGATGCAAGGATTAGGCATGCTTTGGAGTCAAAGGGATTGGAGCATTAGAGCCCAAAATATGAAGGAATGAAGAGTTCAGAGCGGGCGCTCTAGATATGGAGCGGGCGCTCTGTATTCCTTGCTGCAGAAAAACCAAGTACCCAACCCTCAGAGCGGGCGCTCTAATGTTGAAGCGGGCGCTCTAGCTCCCAGAATAATCAGAGCATTTTCTGCGAGACTTCAGAGCGGGCGCTCTGGCCTTAGAGCGGGCGCTCCGTGTTCCCCTGACCGATTTGAACTCTGCTACACGCGTAGGCCGACGGCTCTAATTATTTTACTCTGCACGTGATGCCTAAAATTTTGGGCCTTGATTTGGGTTAGGTTTTAGAGGAGAGGTATGTAGAGAGAGAAATATTAGAAAATCAGATTTCAGCTTATTGTTTTTTTTCTTTCTTTTGCACTTTAGATTAGTTAGGGTTTAGTTCCTCATTAGATCTAAAACACTACTCTTTGTCACTCTCTTTCATTTTCAATCCAAGATTAAATCTTTTGGTATTATTTCTATCCCTACTCTTTATTTATTGCTTTATTTATCTATTTTAATTAGTTTTAGCTTATCTTTAGTTGTTATTTCAAGTCAATAGAATAGTTTAATATCTTAGTTGCCTCCTTGTTTAAACTTGCAATTTCTGGTTTTGATCCTTTATTTTCTTGCTATTAGTATAATATTATCCTTATTTGCTTAGATTTCATGCTATTTAGAATAGATTACAAGTAGACTTAACATATTCTCTTCAAAGTTAACTTCTTTAGTAAAGTTTAATCATCCTATTTTCTGGTTTTAGCCATGTTTCTCTCATTAAACTTAGTTTTTGCTTTTGTTAATGTTCTTGTGTGCTTTGGTATGACCCTTCCTTCTCTAGGCTAGGTTTCTAGCTAGGGGAGGGGGAAATGATGAACTAATGATGAAATGAATGATATGTGGTGCAAGATTGGGTAGATTGAGAAGTTTTGCAATTGATTCCAACCTAGGTTTTAGTTGTTAGGAATTAGAGATTGATCACCTCTAAGACCCTATTTTGTGTTGCATGCTAGTTGCGCGAGAGTGAGCTTGTATGTGATGATGACTAGGTTAGGGATGACCTCGACCACCGAGGCGGGGTTGGGTAGGCGGTGTTTAGGTGAGCCCGAGAGGGAATCCTAGATGTTGGACCATAGGCCCCAATTGTTTGGTTGACCGATTGAACCATTCTTGTTGCCTCTAATTGTTGAAATCATTGTTAGTTAGGAATTCTCCCCTATCCCCTAGTGTTTGCTATTCCTTGATTTTCGAAGTTTTATACCTCTGCTTGTTGCTTGTTAATTTAGTTCTTAGTTTATTTGTTTCCCTAGTAGCTATAGATAAATCCATCAAAAATTTATTCCTCCCTTTTCAATTGACTTATAAGTGATCTAAGCAAGAGACGTTTGACCTTCCCTGAGGATTCGACCCCTCTTCCACTATGCTACCTTTGGTTAGTTTAGGACGTGGGTTTTCTTTTTATTCTTGACTCGACCTTTAGGAACTAACGACACCTAGGGGCCCGATCAAGTTTTGGCGCCGTTGCCGGGGAATGGCAACATTGTTTATTGCTTAGTTATCTTGTTTTTCAATTGTTTTCTACTTCTATCCTTCTATTTTTCATTTATTTCTCCGTTGTTGTCATTCGCTAATTGTCTGCTTAGCTGTGTTGAATGCTTAGAAGATCACAGGGACCACCTACTCACGACCTCGATCTCGACATTGACCGCACTCTAAGGCGAGTGAGGAGACTATTTGTTGAACAAACGGGTGAGGAGGAGGAGTTCTTTGATTCTTCTAGTGATATTTCTTCAGACATGGGGGATGCCAAATGGCGCTCTTTTTGGTGACTTTGGTAATCCGGGTAGTCATGAATTGCAATGTGGGATTTCTACTTCCTACAACGGAAACAAATTTCACTATCCACCCGCACTACACTCAAATGGTGCGTGGAGATCAATTTTCTGGAGCAGCTCATGAAGATCCGATAGAGCATTTGGACAAATTTCTCGAGACATGTGCTTTAATCCAAACCAACCAAGTCACTCAAGAATACATCCGGATGCACCTTTTTCGGTATTCGCTCACAGGCAAGGCTTATAGGTGGCTCAAAAACCTAAAGCCCGGCTCGTTGGCCACATGGAGAGACACGGCCAAAGCTTTCTTGAACAAGTTCATTCCCGAAGACAAATCAACCGAATTGAGGCAGAAAATTTCATCATTTAGGCAAGAAAGGTATGAATCTTTGGGGGAAGCTTGGGACCGGTTTAAAGAGTATGTGAGAGCTTGCCCACACCATGAGTTTGACAAGCAACTTCTCATCAAGTTCTTCTATGATGGTCTTGACGACATACCCAAGCAAAATTTGAATTCCGGATGTGGTGGACATATTAGCAAGGTGCCTCAAGCTCAATTGGAGGACACCATAGAGGAAGTTGTGAGGTACTATTCTACGAGTGGTGGAAGAAGAAGAGGTGAAGAGAGAGCTTCGGGCAAATTCGAGCTTGATCAAGGTTCACTCAAGGCTCTTATGGAACAAGTCATTGACAAGAAGCTGGGAAATAGCCAAGGGTCTTCATCTTCCTCCACCAATCAAGTACACTCTTTCTCTTGTGAGAATTGTGGGGGTACCAACCATGATATATCATATTGTGGTGGTCGAGACCCCGAACATGTAGCGGCAATGGGGTACATGAACAATCAACGTGATAATTGGAGAGCCCCCAATGCCAATTATGGTAATAGATTTCAAGATGCAAGTGGCCCAAGCCACAACACGGGTCAAATGGCTCCCTTTCCAAATCCAAATGCTAGCAATCACCCTAGAGCACCATTCAAGCAAGGACCACCCAACCAATTTCAGAATTTCCAACCCAACCCTTCCATGCAAAATGATCCTAATCAACAAATGCTCATGGAAACTCTCAATAGAATCCAATCAAGCCTATCCGCCATGGATCAAAGAATAACCAATAGTGAGCGAAAAGCGGATCAAAGGCATCAAGAGGTCACCGCACATCAAAAGATGATGGATAATCAAGTGGCTCAACTCGCCGAGAGGGTGACCAATCTAGCCAATGAGAAGCTCCCGGGCCAACCTACTACCAACCCGGCTACCACCCATCATATCAAAGCTATCTCTCTTAGGTCCGGAAAGTCTTATGAGGGCCTAGGAGTGATCAATCGGAGCACAACAAGGAGGGTGAAGAGCAAGTGGTTG